GTGGATAGGGCGGGGTGGCAGGGTGGGTAGATTTAGATAGTGTTAGGTGATAAGATTATTTAATGTATAGTGGACCCAATATGTTTGTATATAATGTAGAAAATTACTTCAATATCCTTAATGAAGGTATAATTTTGACTTTTTAGTAGCCATTAGAACATTCAATCTAATGGCCAGATTTTATTCTCATTTCTTTCATGGGGAACCATTCTCATGTGAACTCAACCCTATATATATATATATATATATATTTTATTTTGTTTTTTTATTAATTAACTTTTTTCAAGAACAATAGTATATATTCTCTTGGTCAAAAATGAAATTATGAGAAACCTTTCTGACACGAAACTTGGACTGCAGGCTCAGAAGTTGACAAGTGATCCATATTACCTGAATTGCACCAACAAAGAATGCAAGAAGCGGTTGTTAGGAAAATGCGTGATAAGGACGTGTTCGGCGACCCTAAGGTTTCACGTCGTCAACATACGAACAAACATCGAATTCGTGCTGTTTGGTGGTGGGTTTGACACGCCTTGCATTTTGAAAAGATCTCAGTCTTTGAGATTTGCCAACCCAAACAGTCCCTTGTACAGACACCTGTCGTCGCCTGATTCGACGGGAACTAAGGTGCATATATATACTCGTCTTTTCTAATATACGCTTGATTGTTGACTAAATATTATTTACGGTCTCCGGGTGTAAATTTTCCTTTTTTCTTTTTCCCTTGCCTTGGTAAAATATTATTATTTACTCAAAATGATTTTTGGCACCTTTGTCAAATAACTTCTTCTTAACTTTACCTATTACTAGTGTACAGCCCGTGCTATGTACAGATAAACAATATTAAATAATATTTATTAATATAAAAAGAGGCAACCTAAAAAATTCAGTAATAGTAACTAAAAAATCATCTAAAATCCCGCTATAGTAAATTATTTTGAAAATTTTCGCCCAATATACTGCCTATTTGAATTGCTTGATTTTTTTGGAAATTTGAAATTTTTGTCAGTATGTCAAATCTTCAATTGTTCTTTCAAATTTTCCAAAATTTTTGAACAAATCAATTTAAAGACGTTTTTTTTTTTAAAAAAAATGTAAACCAATCCACTTTAACATCTCCATAGCATATCAATATCACTTTTTTACGGACAATCCCAACCAGCATAGTTATTAACTTTTAATATTGAATTAAATTCTTTTTAATATTTCAGAAGTTTATCAGTTTATATTATAAACTCTCAATTAATTTTTTTTTTTTTTTTGCATAAATAAAAAAACTTATAATTCCCTATTTCAAACCATTAAAACCCACGTTTTAATTTAATTTAAATTATGATTAATCTATTACTACATAATAAGAAGAAACATTTAGTTACAATATAATGTAAAATCCGGCCAAAAAATATTTTCACTATTAGTGGATTTTAAACAAAAAAAAAAAAAAAAATTCAAATAATCCCACCATGTAGTTTAAGGTTGAATTTCCAATTATTTAAGTGATTGATTCCATTTTATGATATTGTTAGTTGAAAACTAACCCGAGTATTAAGGAATTATTTAAAATAGCTAATTGACCTTTAAACGCATATCTAGCAATAAAAACAACCTATATGTTGTTGATTTTTTTTTTCTTTTCGTAGAATGGATAATATATAATCATTTATAACATAAAAAAATGTTCTAGAATATCATTTAAAATATTCGATCTCCAAGTTTGACGGGAGATTTAACCTATATATATGTTTGTATTTATATGAAATAGAAACTAAAATCACACCTAAATTTTTAAAATTTCTAAATAACTTGGTAATGTTTTTTGCAAATTTTCAAAAAATCACGCCTTTAGAAATTAATTAATCAGTTTATTTTATAAAACTGGCAAGATTAATAAATCAAATATAAAGTGGACGATTTTATTTGAGGTATTGATGATCATTTTTCTTTCTTTTTTTTAGATGTATTGTAATTAATAAACGTTCGGTATTATGGTATAAAGTGAGCAATTTTATATTTCTTATATGAAATGTCCGAATTTAAATGGTATGAATTTTGTACTGTATGAATAGAAGTATATTTTAAAATTTAGAAAACAAAATAAGTAGCATGAATTTTATTTTGTATGGGTATGAAAGTCAAATTTTAAATCGATTTTTTATAAAATCTATGTGATATGATTCTGAAATTTTAGCATATTCTCATTAGAAATTGCTATAAGATATTGATGACAATTCGACAAATTGGAATGTATTTCTTTGAAAATCATATAGATCTTTGAACAAATATTGGTAAAAATTTTAAATTTGTAATTTGATCTAGATAATTGATTGATAAATTTGAACAAGAAGGTAACTGAAAATAAATACAGAAAATTGCAATATATATATAATATAATATAAGAGAATTCATTGTGTAGTTCAAATTTGTGTGTCAAATTTAAAAGTCAAAGAAGTAAATATTCATTACTTACGGGTCAATATTAGTTAGACGTAAATGTAATAGTCAATTATTTATAGTTTAATAAATTACTCAGCTAATTATTATTTTTTATTTGGATAGGTTATACAAGAATAAATCTATTTTCATTAATGAGACAATATGAGTTTTATAATTATACTTATTGTTCACATTGATTTTTAAATAATATTATAATTTTATAAAAATAATCATTTTATGGAATTACACTGTAGTCAAATCGAATTTCTAAATTATTTTTTTTAAGATGACACTAATTTTGAATTGAATATAATGCAATTCATTATCAGTTATGTGCACTTACGAGTTGTGTACTAATTTTAAATTACATATTTTATGTAATTTTGTATAATTTAAATTTCATATAATATTTTTAACAAATTGATATATGTAATTGTCTTACTTCTATATTTTTAATTAATAAATATTATTTAATAAGTATTTTTAATTTATAAATATTAATAAATATTTCTTACCGTCCATCGCACGGGATATGTACTAGTTGAATTAAGGATGAGAGTAAACGGTATTAACTAATAATCATAAATTTAATATATGGGTAAATAATATTAAATAATAATGGTAAATTAAAGATGTGGAATTAACATGCGATATAAAGATATAGATTTATGTAGTTTATAGTAAACATTGTAAAATGATTATGTATATGAAAACATAAAAAATATATGTTTAAAATATATTTTTTTTTTTCTTAAAAAAAAGATAAAATTTTATATAACATATGAATAAATATTAGCATTTTTTATATAATTCTCGAAAGATGTGAAGCCACCTAATTTTTTAAAACTATTTTGTAGAAAACATGTCTTAAAATATATAAGTTTAACATTATATATATATATATATATATAGGAATAGGATCCAATAAGAATGAAGGAGAATGAAAGAAATGAGAATAATTGTACACCATCAGATCTGTTAAATCAATGGTACAGATGCAGTCAACATTAATTGAGCCCTTTTTGACTTCGCGGTGGCATATTCGTAATTATTATATCTTTTGCAGTTAAATGTCTAAGGTAGAGGGTATTATGGTCTTTATCCTACTAGCAGAGGGTAAAGGTCGATTTTTCAGACATAATTAATCGTTTCATCTTCCTAGGGCAGACAACATTGATGAACGAGCTCGTTGGATAAAAATGGCGGTTTCCCAACCTTCGAGGGTCGTTTAATCTCAAATTTTCGTCAGTTTCATCGTGCGATTAATGGGCGTGCATACAACAGATGTGTATTGAAGTTTTGAGGCTATTATTAGCTCGATTTTGTACAAGTTAGAGGAATCTGCTCGTCAATTTCAGAATATGGGTAATACTCCCCAAACAAAGAAGCGAGGTAAGATTTCTCCTCAACCTCGTGTCGATTAGTCATCGTTTTTAGATGTTTCGTTGTAAACATAACAAAAAAATTTATATATAAATATGATATATATAATCTAGGGTTCATATGTTTCTGCTTGTATGGTTAATTTTATTGTAATTAATATATGGTTATTTTTCGTTTATTTTTGGTTGTATCATGTAGTTTGTTCACATTTTTAGTTCAAGATCATTCTCGAGTTGCTTGAGTTTTTTTGAATTTTATTGTAAGTTAGTGCGATATGTACTCTGTTCTACTATCCTACTTTGTTCAGTTCAAGATCATTCTCGAGTTGCTTGAGTTTTTTTGAACTTTGCATGAGTTTTTCGAAATTGTGTGAAGGTACTGCCCGCAAGATTACTGGCATTGTGTCTGAACATAATGGTGATGGGAGTACACGTGATGGCGAAGGAGGTACATTATTGTATACTGCACTTCATAGTTTAGTGTATTGCACTTCATAGTTTAATATGTTGCACTTCATAATGTTTAACGAATATATACATATATACTATAAGTAGGATTATGTGTTTTTTATTTGACTTTATGTTGTATTATTTGTAATTTATGTCATCTCTTGTTAGTGTCTCGACGTCGCACCAGGTTGCCCTCATTACACCAAAGAGATGCGCCCACAAATCAAGGTAACACATGGGAATGTGTTTATGTATGAAATATTCATATATGTATTCTAATTCTAATGTTCGTCTAGTTTATTAGTGGTCTTTATGTTTATTTATGTTTTCAACAATCGTTCTTTTTTACATATCCAGTGTTGGAGAAGACCATCCATACTCCGTTACGTGTTAGTGACCGCTTGAAGCGTTTGAAAATCGGTGCACACATTCCGAACCAGCTTGATGACGACGACTTCGTGGATGATGTACCCCTTGCAGCCATTACATCAAAACTGGCTGTCACCCGACGTAGTGCAAGAATGTCATCAGTACATCAAAGCGGCACGCCCGCAAAGAACTGTAACACACAAGAAGGTAATTACGTATTAATTATTCATATCTATTTTCTGAATTTAGTATGTTTTATTAATGTTATTTGGTTTCATATGTGATGTTGTCTGACACCTTGTGTATTGTACATGTCCAGCGATGGATAGAACGCTCGATGTGCTAGAACATGCTGGTGACCCTTCAAAGCGTCCGAACGGTGGTTCACGTATATCGAGCCAGACTGACAGCGATGATGGTCTTGATGATGTACCCTTGGCAGAACTTGCCAAAAGACGGTACACTACTCGACGTCGCACGAGCCTACCATTATTACAGCAAGGCAATCAAGGCGATACATTAGTGAATCAAGATGACACATATGATGGTAATTTCTAACGAAATACTGAAATCGATATTCTAAAGTTGTTATAGTTTATTAACGACCTCGTGATTTATGTGCAAGAATGTAATCATTTATAAATTACGCATACATGACATTCGTGGGTTGTTGTGGTATGTGTATGTGTGTTGTGCATTTGTTACAATACGGCTGTTTGTATGCGTAATGGGTTTGTGCGTGTTGTACTCATATTCATGTTTACCATATATTTATTTATATTGAGTTCGTTTAAGATGGTTTGTTTTTCTAACTTTACAACATTTAGATGCATATGCTAAACAAATGTGTATTATGCAGATTCAAGCAGTAAGAGACAGACGGACGCACCAGAGCGTGTCGGTGATCGTGCAAAGCGTACAAAGGTGGCATCACGTAAAGTGAGTCATCCCGTTAGTGATGAATTGAGTGCTGATCTGGGCGATGATATCCCTCAATTGCGTGTCAATGAAATTCCAAACGTTCGACATGGTATATGTACTGTGTGTGTTACTGTTATTATATATATAAATTCATAGCTTCCAGTTTACTAGTTTATCATCTTTTGTCAAACTTTTCAGGTAAAGATAAGGTTGCATTGACTGATAACGACTCTATGGACGAATATGATGGGGATGACAAGGTTGTTGATACTGATAGAGACGAGGACGGCGCTTTTCCCAGTTTGAAGACGAGGTCGTCTGCCTCTATATTTGTGAGGGCGATTTCTAACTTGTCAGATGCGAAAAAGAGGGCGGTTAGTGAGATGGGGCTGGGACACTTATTGGATATGCACATAACATCAACACCGTCTAAAATGGGGTACTGGCTAGTAGATAACTTCAACCACCTCGACCGGAAGCTGCAACTATATGATGGCGATAAGATTCATATTAATGAGAATGACGTGCACGTTGCACTTGGGCTACCTCTGGGAGATATCGAAATCAAGAATAAGAAAAAGAGAATTACATCTAAGTTGTTAGACGAGTGGATTGGGCTGTTCAATGTTAGACGGTCATCAAACATTACTGCAACAAAGTGCTTGATAAAATCAACGAGTGTGCGGACGGGGACGATTGGTTCAAGCGCCACTTTGTCATGCTTATGGTGACATGCTTGTTTGAGAGCTGTCCAAACGGAATGGTGAACTCCCGGGTAGTCCACATGCTTGATGATTTATCGAATGTTTGCAAGATGAATTTATTCTCATACATGATCCGATGTTTGGTGGACTCCAAGAGATCATGGGACACTAATGGTAAACATAAATACACTGGGCCATTGCTGTTTTTGACGGTCAGTAACTACGACCTCCTGTTTGTTCGTTTTATGTTATTATTATTTTTTTTTCTTTATAGATTGGTGGCAGATTTGAAGATATCAACTAATCATGCTTATGTGTTTTCTCATTTTGTTGTGGCATAGTTGTTCTACGTGGATAAAGTAGTATTGTCTGTGCGGTCTGTTGCGAGGGTTTTCCCGACGTTTAAATCATGGAACAACCAGTTGTTAAGAGATAGAGAACGGGACGAGATTCGTTCGGGATCATTTGGAAGGGGATTCGTGGACTCAGAACTGAACGTTGTTGATGACAGCCGTTTGTCGGATAGAGTTGTTCCCACATCCAGTTACGGTGATACAAAGGGAGCAGATGAACACGGTGTACATGTGTGTATTACTGTTTATATTATGTGTTATTATCACAGCATTATTATATAGTAACAGCCATGCCAAATGGTAATATAGATTATATGTGGGAATTGCGTTATAAATTGTGACATTTTGTTCTTAGCATAGAAAGTTAAGTGCATATTAGTAATTGATTTGCAATAATATCCGTGCCAATCAATATTGTAATGTTTGGCTAGATGTATTGCGTATTTTTGTATATTGCGTCAACTAAGTTTGATTTTGTTACAAAACATCGATACTTTTCTGACTTTCGAGTTTTTTATTTTTTCAATTTATATTGTGCATTACCTGGTGTAAAAGTGTGCTATATGGTGTACATAATTGTGCTTTTTTGTATTCTACAGGCCTATGTCCAGGAATTTGCATCCAAAGCTCGTCTTCTTGCTACAACCGGTGTCGAGATATTACAACTGGTAGACAAAGCACTCGAGTTCTATTGGGTGATGAGAATTTTATGAAAATGCAAGACGCTGCACAGAAGCTTCTCGATGTGTACTGTGAAGTGCCCAATGATAATCCGAACAACCATGTGTCAAGTCAAAAGTGTTGTGCTGATTCCGCAAAGAAACGTGGTGCAATGAAAGACAATGTGACTGGTGTCGTGTCGCAGTTAGCGAACGAACCATTTTGGAACGATCCTCAAACAGTAGCATCTATAGACGAAAATATGAAGGCATTAGAGGAACGTGACCGTTTCAAGAGGCTGTTGATGCAAAACGATGTCCCCAGCTTCAGTTTGGGATTGTCATCGGATGATGCAGCTGCCGATGTGACTCCTGTACATGATAAATTTCACCGCGTGGTCGGCACGACTTCCGTAGTAGATGCTCAAATAGGTACGTGTTATTAGAATTGCATATATCAATGTGCGGGTATCAGTCGTACCATTTAGTGTGCACGAGAAAATATGCATTATACTACTATGTTCATATGTTCAGATAAAAATTTGCAGGTGGTTCACCTGACAAACCTGACAAAGTCGCCGTTGACAAAGAATCGGTAGTGCAAGCCAATGAACATGTAGCTACATTAACTAAAGGTATACCTGTAAATATATGATATCTGTTTATGTAGTTGTAAATTGTTGTACGTGGTGTGCTTATTCGTTTTTTAATGTTGTCTTTTGTTTTTTTTTTTCAGATAAAGCTGTTGTTTTTTATGGTGTTGATGACGTACGTGTGTCTCCAAGACCGAAGAGGGATGCCAACCCGGCCAGCGCACTGAAATCGCCTTATTGTCGGAGGGAAATAGATGTGGTTAAAAAGCTCGACGGTCACGAAGAGATGATTGCCAGTTGGGTTCTAAATGGCGATGTTTCTGATGGGTATGTGATTTTTTAGTTAGTTATCTTTGAGATTCGTAATTAGTGTAGTAACATATGAGCAATCAGTTTCAATATACATTTACTGTATGCATGGTTTACGATCATGTACAGCGACGTCATTATATTCCAATCATCAGAATATTCTGCACGGAAGTCGGTTGTGTCATGTTTAATGCCAGATACCCCGATTACAAAAGAACTGTTGGATTTGTGGTCTGTAATCCTTAACCACAATGAAATATTGAGGAGTCGTGGTGCGGCCATGTGTTTTTTTGCATCCACGTCTCCATGTGACGAGGTATATTAATTTATTCAGAGTGTCCCTTTCTTTCACGTGTTTGGCCGGTTTCTCTAAATATGCATGCATGTTTGAATATGTCGCATAAAGTCAATGGTGAATGTCCGTTTTGCAGTTGTTTTTTGACGGCAAACGGAGGAAGGATCTTAGTTACAAAAAGTTCGCTCAGTTGCTAGATTCAGAAATTGCACGAATGTCAGATTACGACTTAAAGCAGATTTCGGTGGTCAGTGTCCTTTGTCAGCACGTGTTTGTGTTGATGTGTTATTTATTTATTTGTTTTTGTTTTCTTATCATACGTATAAAGGAGACAAACAACTTGACATCTCGGTCTACGGTAATGTTTCATAAACAATGTCTACAGTATGGCAAATTTTCGGGATTGTTTTGTGTAGCGCCAAATCTCCAGAAGTTCACGATAATAGACAGTGCCAGTAGTTGTAAGGATTCTGCTGTTAAGAGAGCCATCATGCCACGTGCTGATCTGTTGGTAAGACAATAATACATTCGTGACTGTTGTATGTACATCTGATTGTATGCGTCGTATTATTTATTTATATTATGCTTTGATTTAATACAGCGACAATCACTCTCAAAGTATCTAGGCGAGAAAAAACTGGTGAAGAAATTAAAAGTGGTCGCGCTAGCTGTTCCTGACGTCATAGATGTAGCGTGGACAGAAGGGGTTGACGAGGCGGACACTGGATTGTTCACAATGCGCCACATGGAGACGTTCAAAGGTGTTGTCACTAAAGGATGGAATCAAGAGTTGAAGAGGGGCGATAAAGAACAACTGAAGGTCATGAGGAAACGTTATAGTTGTGTCATAGCTTGTGCTCGTAACAACGATGTAAAGGAAATCAATCTTGCCGAATCGAAGAGATTCCACTCATCACTTATGGTAAATAAGTAGTGTATTCCACCGGTTGCTGTGCATTGTTGAATTGCATATACTGTTGATCCTCAGACTTAGTACCCTTATTAGTATCTCGTTTTGTTAGTATATACCCGGACTTGGTACTCTTGACGTGTATATTTGGGGCAGTTGAACAATTTTAGTGTTTCATGTTTTGATGACATGCTATGAAATGTGGATGGTTGTGTCATGGTTTCTTTTGTGGGAATGTTTTGGGATTCAGTCTATGTATGGAAATTTAAGGGGAAAAAAAAAGTGAAGCTCTATGTTGGTTTTGGGGTGTCCATATAATTTATAATGTGCAAGTGTTTCATATATATTGTGCAATGTAAATATCATTGTTGTGCACTACATGACCAATGCATTTATTGATGTATGATATTATTTCGTAAAAGTAAATGTCATGCAACTATCGATTTAACTGTACTTATAATATACTTACAATACATTGGGATGATAGTTGTGTGTGGGCATCGACATAACTGTATTTCATTCGTAGTATGTGTAATACATCGACGTTGAGTGTCATTACAGTATGTGCGTCGTACGACGTATTATATATTAATATGCAACATGAATTGAGTATCGCTTATATCTTATCTGAATATGCTACCGTCGTACGAGTATTTTATCTTTTTATTGTTGTTATTTGTTTGTGTGATTGCCTATTTTAAGCTGTTACACACGTATATACACAAATATAGTGGTCATATAATTTTTTCCACATGCGTACACCGGTAACAATGTTTACAAAAAAAAACGTATCAACGCAATAAATGCACGCTATATATAATGTGCATGTTGTTTACATGTAATGTGCAATATGTGTGTATTGTTGTGCATGCAACCCGAACCCAATGCCGATATTAGATATATCAACACAATAATTGTACCCTATATATAATGTGCATGTTGTTTATCTGTAATGTGCAAAAAAGTGTGTATTGTTGTGCATACAACCTGAAAATGTAATATTAGATATATTAACATACTAATTATTGCACGTTACGTATAATGTGCATGTTGTACATCTATAATGTGCAACCCGTGCGTCTTGTTGTGCACGCAACCAGAAGCCATATTATCGATACCAGATGAATAAGAAATGACAAATTGTAATAACAATTCGACACGTCTTAGAAGTATTTCAACCCAAATATTTGCAATGGCATAAGCAATGTTTGAAAAGATCGACATGTAATATGGAAAATAGTCAAACTATAACGTGATATATAAACAAAATAAAAGTGTCGTCCTTCAACGTGCAGTCCTTCAACGTGCAGCTGGGTTCTCTAGCACTTCGGTGCCGACATTTGTAAATTTTTTTCGAATTATTTTACATACCTAGTGATCGAATACAACATTTGAATTTCAACTATGCAAACAAAATATCATAAGTAGTGCGAAGTGAAGTCATAGACATTTGAGATGTGCGAGTGTGCGACTAACGGTTCTGTAACAGTATTCTAACTCATATTATTAAGTAATGGTACCTAAATGTTCGAAGAAGCAATTTTGATGCTATCAGCATATCAGCAAGTGTCCTGCAATTATCACAACATATATATATAGAAAAATTTATGTCACGAGCATAGACGTAAGATTCATATACACACGTGCACACTGAACGTTACACTAGGATCGTGTTTTACCTCTGGTAGCTGTTTTTTAGGGCAAGTTCGTGCGTTGTGTCCTGCTCTCTCCCCACACGACTTGCAAATTCTTCGTTTTTTCTGTGAGTTTTCAATCGATTTCTCCTTGTCGGATTTCATCCTTTTTCCACTACCTTTGTTTTTTGATTGCGATGGAGGGTGAATGCTTATTGATTGTGGCGCTGGCACGCCAACAAATGAATCAAACCTTCGTGCTTTGTCATTGCCTGTACTTGCTGACTCACTGTCCTGATGTGTCATAGGTTTACTCTTGTATTCTCCAATGATATTGGAGAACTCAATGAGTCGGTCCAAGTTTGTCTCAGACAATTCCATGCACACGTGAATATCAGACCACAACTTATTAACCAACAACTTAGTTTCATCTTGTCGTGCACATTGATTGAAGATATTATCGTCTATGATGAACATAGGATTACTGAACGCGAGTTTCGTCCACCTCGACATGACGTATGCTGGTGGAACTATCTCAATGTTTAGGTCTCTATACACAACAAATATGTGCCAACACAACCATCCATAAATCTCAAAGTGTTTACACGAGCATTGTGATGTATTAAGACCCACATCGTGAATTACTGTAAAGGTTTTTCTGTCACTATCTCTGATCATAAATGTGGTGTGACCGTCATTTTCAGTAATCTGCATAACTCGACATTTGTAACACGCGTCACATATTTCATTTTGTACACGATAAAATATTGTTGTCGTGTACAAATCCAAGGCAGACTTCTCAATGGACAAAGGAGTTTTTAACTGGGCCTTATGCGTTTCACTATCACACTGTAACTTCATCGATGTGTTCCGTTGTGCATCCATTGCACTGTCAAAATGTAGTAAGAACTCGACCAAACTAGAGTGACTATTCGTGAAGCTACTAAACCAGTTGTTCTCGCTTTCAGACCTAGACGTAGTCCTCATCAGCCCACTCATACTTACATCTCTAAAATATGCCGGTATCCAATGCTCTCTCTTAGCAAACAAATCAATAAACCAACTGTGGGTTTCCAATGAATAATCATGCATTATTTCAGCCCATTTGGATTCAAAATCAGCAGGCTCTATGCGACGACACCAAACAATTTCATTTAACCTTCGTTTGAAATTGGTGTCGTTAGTTAAAGTGTGCCCGACCTTATCACATAACTTATTCATTATATGCCACGTGCAAAATCGGTGTCTACTAGTCGTGAATACCTTGGCAAAGGCGATTCCGATAGAGGGATCCTGGTCAGTAATCATATAGTTCGGCTCCCGAATCATGGCATTCTTGAAGTTCTCAAACACCCATGCATACGAATTCACGTCTTCTTTTGATATAAGAGCGGCTGCGAAGGTTATACATCTATTGTGATTGTCTATTCCAGTGAAAGGTGCAAACACCATATTGTACCTTACAAAAAATAATTGATATTAGCATCAGCATATCGTAGTTGTGCACTTTTTTTAATGTAAATGAAAAACGTGAAATATCATTACCTGTTGGTGCTATACGTGGCATCAAAGGACACAACATCCCCAAAGGAGCAGTAGTTTCGCCTTGACATTGGATCAGCCCAAAAGAGTCTCCGTAAGCGTTCTTTCTCATCTAGTTCGTACTGAAAATAGAATGCCGAACTATTATCCTGTCGTTTATAAAATTTATCTATCACCATCTGAGCATCGACTCCTAAAATGTGTGCAAGGAGTTCTCTCTTGAAGTTCTTAAAGTCTGCATTGGTGGCACCAATATGCGCATATCCCCCAACCATTTCTTTGTACAGCTTGAACTACTTTGTGGGTCCTATATTTGCTTTTATGCAATTGAGAACAAATCCTTGATGTGCCGCGGTCATTGTCCTGTTGATCTTCAAATGTGCTCTGCATTCTTCAGGGGTCATGGTGTGGTTGTGCCTTTCCTCGAAAAATTTAACTACGTAGCCCTCAACTCCATAAACACGCAGCGCAATACAGGCATTACAACCAACCCGATTGGATACTCTACGTCTTATTACAAGACTATCGCTGGGTATTCTTTGGCCAATGTTTGAATGGTGTTTGTACCCTTCGCGTGAACACACCAAATATCTCCAAAGAACGGTATTATCCTTCGCTTTTACCAACGCGCTTTGTCTAATATCAAAACCAACGACAGAGGCATATGTTTGGTAGAAATCAGCAGCCTCACTTAATGTTCTAAAAACCTGTCCTTTGTGAGGTCGAATTGAGTCTTCGCACTGGGGAATCCAATATTTAGTACCGCCAGGTGATATCACGAGTTGTTGGTGTTGTGATGGCCCCGATGGTGTTGGTACTGTAACATTTTATGAAAATCAATCAGATATCTAAAAAAAAAAACACAATATATATGCTCACATATATATTCATATATGAAGTCCAAAGGCAGTAAGGTGCACATTTAGGTCACTATGATGCACTATATTGCATACTTCATGCACTTTATATCAACATGTACACATTCATGAGAATACTCTAGTCACGCTTACGAGAATATGCTTGGACACTATAATCCAGATAAAAACTTATGCAGTTTAATTAGCATGATGTACCTGTCGCAGTAAATCTGATTGAAATTGAAATATACAGAAGTAAAATATACATAAGTGACGACCGAATTCAATTTACCTAGTTGTGTGTCATCCAATTCCATATTAACCAATCAACGTGTGTATCAGAAGTTGTAAAATTTGCTCAAATTTCGAGAGACGATCGAAGCTCGACTTGAAGAATGGCGATACGATCGAAGCTCGACTTGAAGAATTGCAATATGATCGAAGCTCGACTTGAAGAATTACGACACTATACTCCCCTCCCGAGGTAAACGAGCCATTCCAGGATGTTGTCTGAAGCAGTCCATCATCGATCACAATAAATTGATCGTTACCATCGCAGATAATCGTGGGATCTATAGTATCGATTTTATGTTGAGCTCTAGGTCGAGATTGAGCTTTGGGGTTTTTTTTTTTTCTCCAGAAATTCGATTATGAGCTTTGGGATTTTTTCCCCAATTTAATTCATGAGCTTCGGGAAACAGAGTATTCTTAATAGATGGTAAGTTACCAAATTGCCCTACTTAGTTGTGCGCTGGTAACATGATTTTTGCCGTCGGATTACTTTAATCTTATGATCAAGATGATTTCTTATTTCTTTCATTGACAACCTTTCTCACCGGAACCCATCCCTATATATATATATATAAATATATATATATGGAATGATTCAAATGCGACAGTTTTTTAAAATGCAGACGAGATACTCATTCTTAGCCACAAGATTGGTACATGATATGTGTGGCAATGATTTACTCTTTTTATTATTATTATTTTAATTATTTATATATTATTTTGACCCGTTGACTCCGGTGTTGACCGTTGACTTCCGTCGTTGACCGTTGACTCCGTCGTTGACTTCCGGCATTGACCGTTGACTTCCGGCGTTGACTGTTGACAACTAAACTTGCAATTAAATATAAATAACCTAGCATGCTAGGTTAATTGTCTGATGGTGCTAGGTTAGTTGTATAATTGTGCTAGGTTTTTTTTTTTTTTTTTTTTTTTAAACAACGCCCCGGGGGCGGGGGATTGGGCTGGATCCCCAACCTGTACATAGATCAAGACCCTAAAACGGGCCCAAATATCAAACCACTATAGTCAACATAGTCTCACAATCAATAGAAGGCAAAAACAGAAAAAGAAAAAGAAAGGAAATAATACAAGGTCTGTCATCGGGCTAACAGGTGTCCGGAATAAATGTAGGATCAGAGGAGAGCAAAAACTATTCTACTAAAACCGGAAAGATGGGTATCCAAGCTGGTCCATCCGTACCAGCGTGCGAAGACGGAGTGGAGCAATGGTGTCGGTTTAATACGTGTGTAGGTCCGGTGTAGTGGCGCCAAGGCTGGCAAGATAGTCAGCAGGTCTGTTCCCCTCATGGAAGATGTGCGTAATCCTGTGATGGACAGACCGTAGGAGAGCTCTAATGCGCATAAGCGAGTGCTGAATCTGCAACGAGCCCTGGTGGCCTGAGGTCAGAATGGTGACGACCGCCGCAGCGTCCATCTCGATCCAAATATGACTAGAGAGGTGGGCAGCGAGATGAAGGCCAATCTGTAGATCCTGAATCTCTGCATCGTAGCTCGAGGAGGCCTGAAGGGACGTGTGGAAGGCGGTGATAAGAGCACCGCTGTGGTCCCGGATCAAACCTCCTCCTCCGGCTACTCCAGTCTGGCGATCAAAAGAACCATCAGTGTTCAGCTTGACCCAAGGGGAGTCGGGTCGAAGCCAAACGACAGCTCTGGCCGAGGAGGCCGAACAGGCGCAGGGGGAGCTACCAAGTAGCGGTGTGGTGGCGTGCAGCCTGTCCAGTCTCTGGCAGTGAGCCTGCCCAATGATGTGAGGAGTGAAAGATGTCTCTGTACCTGCAAAACAATGTGAGAAAGCAAAAAAATAATATCCCTATGCTTCGCACTATTCCTTTCCGTCCAGGTGAACCAAAGGATCAGACAAGGAATGAGGAAGCCCACGTGTTTAAAGTTTGTGCTCTGTGAGAAAAAACTCAGGAGCTCAAAGAAACTGTCTGTGGTGGGTAGGGATATATGAGTCCAAGTGGCAAAGTGCTCCCACACTCTCCTCACAATCTCACTCTCTAGAAAAAGGTGGGTAAAGGTCTCGGTCTCGTGACGTCCGGTCTCAGAACAACACACACACCGAGAGGGGAAGGAGAACCCCCTCGCATGTAAAACAATGTCCACGGGTATCCGACGCAAGAGGAGGCGTCAAAGGAAAACCGAAATAGTAGGGGAAAAGATATCGCTCTAGATGGCTCCGAAGAGACGATTTGGCCGATCTCTCAGCCTGATCTGCTCCCAAGCCGAGGTAGTAGAAAACACACCCGATGATGTAAGTCTCCACCTCATGCCATCCGAACCGTCCCCCGAGATGGGGATCTGCTGGATCTGATCTAATAACTGCTCGCTAAAACCCGCCCCGAAGCCCAGCTCTCTATCAGGCTTCCCACTATCCCACGACCCGTCCGTCCACAGGTCGCTCACAAGCAGGTAGGGGGAATGCGACACCTGCCTATCGCTAGACAACGGCCTATCACCTAACCACCACTAATCCCAAAAACTAACCTCACCATCACCCAAAATCCAAAAGATGTGATCCTGGGAGCGCCTACCGACCCTAGTGAAGCGTCGCCACTGTCTGCTATCATGACTAACTGCCGTCACCCAACAAGGGTGGTTGGAACGTCTAGAACAATACTTGCCGCGAATGTACTGGGCCCAAAGCGACTTTCTTTCCCTGAAGCGCCACCACAACTTGTAGGAGAAGGCAGAAACTATATCCCTAAGACGGCGGATGCCAAGGCCTCCCTCAGAGAAAGGGCGGCAAATAAAGTCCCAACTCACCTAGTGGGTACGTCTCCCTCTCCTGGAACCGTCCTCGTAACCCTAGAAATAACGAGCCATAATCTAGTCAATCTCGTCAAGAGTAGACCTAGGGGCGTCGAGGACCATAAGTAAGTGAAGCAGAAGAGAGCTAAGGGTGCTCTTGATCAGCGCAAGTCGACCACCGAAGGAAAGGTGTCTATGCGACCAACCAGAGATCCTATCGATCATCCTCTGTCTAATGTCCACAAAGAGCGCTCTCGAGAGGTGACCCTTATATAAAGGAGCACCCAGGTAGGTAATGAGAAGGTCGCCGCGCGCAAAGCCAGTGATCTCATGGATCTGCTGAGCCCAACTGTCTGCGCTAGAGGAGGAGAGGGTGAAGGTGCTCTTCTGCACACTGATCAGCTGGCCGGTAACCGAGCTATAGTGCTTCAGAATGTGCATAAGCTCGATCAGCCCATCAACATCCGCCCGGGTGAAGATGATGATGTCATCCGCATAAGAAAGGTGCGAGATGGAGGACCATAGCCACGTGTGTTGTATGTCATCCGTGGATAGTCGCGGATGAAGCCTTCAAGGCAGCGAGAGAAGTAGTCCGTCGCAAGGACAAAAGGGATGGGGAAAGGGGTCACCCTGTCTAAGGCCCCTAGAGGAGGGAAAGAAGTCAGTGGGGCTACCATTAACCAGGACCGAGAACGTGCAGTGCTTCACACACGCCTCAACAAAACTGATCCACAGCTCAGAAAATCCCATCCTAGCCAGTGCCTCCCTAAGAAACGGCCACTCTACCCTATCGTACACCTTAGCCATGTCTAGCTTAAGCGCAACGTTTGGTGCCCGCTTTCAATCCACATGGGAGATATCGTGGATCATCTCCTGGGCCAAAAGTATGTTATCACTAATGACCCGATCCTTGACGAAACCACTCTGGTTCGGAGAGATGAAGGAGGGGGAGAAGAGGGGAAAGGCGGCCGTTAAGGATATTCAAAATGAGCTTATTGGTCACGTTACACAGGCTGATGGGCCTGTAGTCGGACCAAAAACTTGGATTGGGTCTTTTGGGAATCAAGACGACAGAGGTAGACGTGAAGGAATCCGGCATCCGGTGACCGTAGAAGAAATCCAACATTGCCTCCTCAACATCAAGCTCGACAATATCCCAACAGACCTGACAGAAGAGAGAAGAGAACACATCGGGGCCAGAAACGCTGTTGGGATCAATCCCGAAGACAACATCCCTAACCTTCTCCCTACTCGGGAGCTCACAGAGGCCGACGAGGTCGATCGAAGGAGAAATGGTGGGAAAGAAAGAAGCGATCGGGGCATCGAGAGCCCCTCTGTCGGAGGTGAAAAGGGTCTGGAAGTGGGCAGTAGCTGACTCCCGAATCTGAGACTCTTGGGTCAGGGATGACCCATCAGCCTCAATACTATGGATGTACGACTTAGCACGCTTCTGCCTAACGAAACCTGGAAAAAACTAGTATTCCGCTCACCCTCGGGCACCCAGCGAATGGCCGCCTTCTGCTTCCAGAAATCCTCCTCCATAAGGAGTCGGAGCTGGTACTAGGCATGGCAGTGACGCATCGCAGTCCTATTGTCCGGAGTGGGGTCCAGATCATAGGCCCGCTCAGCCTCCGCATGCGCACTCTGAGCCGCGGAAAGGCGCTGATGGAGGTTTCCAAAACATCCCAGTTCCACTATCTCAACCTATGCCGCAGCCTGCCGAGCTTCGCCTCGAGATTGCGCATCCCGAAGAGCCCAGTCGGCTGAAGCCAGGAGTCCCTGACAGTGTCATGGAAGGAGTGGTGGCGAACCCACATGTTCTGGAACCTAAAGGATGAACGGCGCGGGGTGCTCGAAAATCGACACCTAATGAGGAGGGGTGAGTGATCAGACCCAAATCGAGTGAGGTGTGAGACGGCCGTGACTGCAAACACCTTCGACCATGCCTCAGAAACCAAAGCACGGTCGAGCCTCTCTTTGAGATCATCCCTAACCCACGTAAAGGGCTCACCCTCACATCCAGCGTCAATCAACTCACAGTCTGCCACAGCCTGAGCAAAGTCCCACATCTCTCTAGAACGATCCAAAAGGCCACCCACACGCTCATCGGGATGCAGAAAGATGTTGAAATCGCCACTAACCATCCATGGCAATCCCTCCATGCTCTCAGCAATCTCACGCAGTGTGTCCCAGAGATCATATCTCCCGACCCTATTACACTTGGCATAAACCAAGGTATGGAATATGGGCTCGGGGAGGTGGGCCGCAGAAAGCTCGACATGAAGCACTTGGTCGGTATCCCGGAGGACCTGACAGGTGTAATCACGCGAGTGGAAGAACCAGATCTTATGTGAAGTGTTACCCACGCCCGAGTGGAAGCCAAGGCGACGTGAGTAATAGTCAATATCAGGGGTGCGAATCATCGGCTCTAAAAAGCCAACGAAGTCCAATCTATGATCACGTATGAGAGAGTGGAGATGAGCGAGAGTGGCCCTATTAGCCAGGCCCCGGCCATTCCAGGTAATAGATATAATAGACATATCAACAGTCGTGAGAGCCACCAGACGTGGTCCGACTGTGGCGATGCTGGGTCGAGCCACCTGAAGGAGGGGGGAGGTGGCGAAAAGATCGAAGGGCAGGGGAGACTGTCCGTCGTGTCACGCGCGATGTGGGTCCGGTCTTCGAGGGGGGACGCCCTCGGTAAGTGCTCGTAGCCTGCGAGTCATCAGGCTGAGCAATCGGACCCAAAGCAGCACTAGGGACCTGCCCCATCTCCGAGGCTGTCTCCTGTCTGTCAAAGTGGACGAATGCGCTAGAGGCGAAACTCTCGCACGAGACGTCATGCTAAGCACGGTTAAGACCGCATATCTGCTTTGGGATGGGAGGTAGAGAGCCTCCATTAGGCGGAGCACTCGGGTGCTCACCGAGAGAGTGAGGCTGGAGAATAGCTATATACTCAGCCGAGCTCCCAAGCTCAGCAGAAGGAAGATGTGTCGGCTCTTCCCCTTTCGGAGGAGCGGTGGCGAGAGCTGTCCCCATCTCCAGGGACCTGTCCTGGCTAGGTGAATGGACAGACAAAGGAACAGCACCTCGATTGCTGTCATCAGCTAAGTGAACGGACGTACCACTGGTCGAGGCGTCCGGCTGCTCCAGATCCTCAGCAAGGAGGTCATCATCGTCTACAAAAGGAAGATCTAAGGACCTATGGGGATCACTGGTAGAGATCTCAGGCTCATCCTCTGCCTCAGGGGAGAGGACAACAAAGAACGAGTGTGTCTGGGAATGAAGCCCGAGGTCTTGGCCTTGGGCCCAACAGAAGTCAACTGCTTAGGCTGGTTAGGATGAACAACCTTTCCAGTTTGGGCAGTGAAGACCATCACAACCTTGCCCTTATCCTTGACCCCCTTTGGGGATCCGGGCGCATGGAGAGGGCCTTTGCCCTTTCCCTTCGGTTCCCTCCGGCCATTGGAGGGTCCCGGCTGAGTCGCACGGTGGCGCGGAGGCAGAGTGGGTCGTGGCTTATTGCCACTAATATAGCAATCAGCCACTATATGCCCCACATGACTGCATGAGGTACAGAACGCGGGGATCTTCTCATAGATCACCCGCTGAGCAAAAGTCTCCGAAACCTGCTCAATCTCAATCTCGTGGACGGGCTCAACCATGTGATTGATCTCAACACAAAATCGTGCCACATTAGCCCTCGACTGGAGGGCTGTCGGGGCATCAATGCGGACCGGTTTTCTGACACACTTTACAAGTGTGGTGATGGAATCCCGATGATAAAGGTGTGGTGGAAGGCCGGGGAGACGGCACCACACGGGGACGACAAGTGTCTCCGTCTTCGGGTTGAACCCG